AAATGGGTTAGATCTAATTGGAGGGCTAAAGCCTACCTAAATACGAACACTCTCATGGAGATTAATTATCGGGTTAGTCTAACTTAACACTATCAGTTTGAAATTGGCAATTAGTGGAAACTAGACCACTGCCTTACTTATCTTCCAAATTCTAATTTTAACATTGATAAGTGCATTTTATTCGCTTATTCTAATTTATATTCTTATTTATTTATATATAAATTGAACGAATATCTATTTAATTCGTGTACATTATGCTAATTGTAGAAAAATCTCAACTGGAATACAATTTATATGAAAAGAGACTATTTAAAGTTTAATTGGAGTTGATTTGAAACAGTTGAAGATGAACCATGTTGCAACTTGCAAGAGATCAGTTAGACGGATCAGTAGAGCATTGGGTAAAAAATCTTAAGTTTCGAGAGTTAAATTCGACACTTGAAAAGTTTGAGGATTAAATTGTAAATTTCAAACTTGCATCGGATCAACTATAATAATTTTAGAATGAAGAGGACTTAATTTCAATATTAGAAGATGAAGGACTAAAAGCACATGAGAAAAATAGTTCAATTGGAAAAAGGGATTTATTTTCTTTTTCTTTTTAAACTCTCTGATAGAAATCAAATTGAATAAGGATTTTGCCCAAATCTTGTTCTATAAATACAAATCATAGTCCAACAATTAAAATGAGGCTTGTAGAGTTTTATTATAAGCATACATTTAAGCCAAGGCTTAGGGAATTCATTATACATATATTATTAAAGTCAAAAGAAGGGGAAAAAAAATCAAGAAATCAATCAACAAGTTAGGGTTTCAAATTTTTATAAGATTAGTGTAAGATCTTTATTTTTTCCCATTTTTCCTTAAAATTCGATGATGCATTTTAATTCGTTCTTCTATTTTTATTCTCTTATTATGTGTAATTAATCAATCATTTTACTTAGGATGAATGATTGTAACCTAATTTTGAACCTTAATTTTAATTAAAAAGTTCTAAATCTCCAATTGATTTTGTGAATTGTTTTTACTTCAAATCTTGATGTTTGTATTAATTGACCACCAATTCATTTATTTTGTGAGCAATAATTACATAGAGATGTAGATTATTCGTTTAGACCACTTATTGAAAATTGGGAACTAGAATAAAATTGTAGAGATAGATTTTCTAGTTAATGTAGTGTTACATAAATTCGTTGAGATTTAATGCGTTAACTAAGATATATCTGAATGTACATATAGATAAGTAATTGAATTAGTTAAATAGAGTCAATTTGAACTCGAGAGATATATATCGAATATGTTAGAGGAATTCGACCGAATAAGCATAATCAATTGTTATAAAATTTGGTGATTGAAATTAAGGGGATAACTATGGTAAACTCATGAATCCTAACACTTAAACTATCATTAAAAGAGTCTTTTTTTTTTTTTTTTGTATATTTAAGATAAAAAAAATACGGAAGTAAAGATAAACACTTTCTATTTATTTTCAATCAAATTAAAATTAGGAATAATTTAATGGTTATATAATAATTCTCGTGTAAACGATATTCAGACTCATTGGTTCACTTTATTACTTGTTACGATGTGTACACTTACGAAATATAAAATCGATAACAACTATTATTATTATTATTATTATTATTATTATTATTATTATTAGAAATAGAAACACATGATGTGTATATTTTACATGGAACCAATTGTTTCATTAAANTAACGCATTTTGAATCGCCTCAATCGGATATCGGAATACAAAGTTATGATAAAAACATTGAAAAAAGGTGCAGCTGCCTGTTTAAAACAAGAAATTCCGTTACATAGTCCGTTAAAACAACAAATTCCGTTAATTTTTCGGTTAAAAACAAGAAATTCTGTTACATAGCCACTTTTAATATATAGAAAATATATTATTAAAATCAAAAGAAGGGGGAAAAAATCAAGAAATCAATCAACAAGTTAGGGTTTCAAAATTTTGTAAGATTAGTGTAAGATCTTTATTTTTCCCATTTTTCCTTAAAATTCGATGATGTATTTTAATTCGTTCTTCTATTTTTATTCTCTCATTATGTGTAATTAATCATTTACTTAGGATGAATGATTGTAACCTAATTTTGAACCTTAATTTTAATTAAAAAGTTTTAAATCTCCAATTGATTTTGTGAATTGTTTTTACTTCAAATCTTAATGTTTGGATTAATTGATCACTAATTCATTGATTTTGTGAGCAATAATTACGTAGAGATGCGGATTATTTGTTTAGACCACTTATTGAAAATTGGGAACTAGAATAAAATTGTAGAGATACATTTTCTAATTAATGTAGTTTTACATAGATTCGTAGAGATTTAATGCGTTAATTAAGGTATATCCGAATTTACATAGAGATAATTAATTGAATTAGTTAAATAAAGTCAATTTGAACTCGAGAGAGATAAATCGAATATGTTAGATGAATTCGATCGAATAAACTTAATCAGTTGTTATAAAATTTGGTGATTGAAATTAAGGGGATAACTATGGTGAACTCATGAGTCCTAACACTTAAACTATCATTAAAAGAGTCATATTTTATTGTTTTCGTATATTTAAGATAAAAAAATCACAGAAGTAAAGATAAACACTTTCTATTTATTTTCAATCAAATTGAAATTAGGAATAATTTAATAGTTAGATAATAATTCTCATGTAAACAATATTCAGACTCACGGGTTCACTTTATTACTTGTTATGATCTGTACACTTGCGGAATATAAAATCGACAACAACTATTCATTATTATTATTATTATTATTATTATTATTATTTCAAAATTACTATTATGAATAAGTTAAAATACAATAAAAAAAAAAAGCATAAATCAATTCAAATCATCACAATCCAAATATTATATCTCAAACTTTAGAATCCCAACCTCAGTAATCATACTTCAAAATCTTCCTAATTCAAATTAATTATACATAAAATATTTTTTGTTGAAGTTCAATTTGCACGTTATATATTATGGTTCCTTGGAAGCCATCGTAACAACATAATAAAATCTCCGAACAAATAGCTCTATTGGTAATGTAATAGTCCACTAACCTTGAACATATTAACAAAGGATTAATATAAAAAAACTCTCAAAAAATGTTTCCATTTGTGATATATCCCATACCTATTGAAAATCGCAGAAATCCCCATGTTTGAAATATATTATGTGAAAACCCCCTATCATTCAATTCCGTTAGTTTGACAGTTAAAAACAGTAAAAAAAAAATGTCAAAATTTAAAAGGAATAATTGTAGTTGTCCCAAACTTTTTTATTTTTTTGCAAATTACACCAAAATATATTATTTGCACCACCTGCAATTCTAAACTTTTAAAACTTTATATTCTTCCCTCACTTCCACCACATCCCACCCCACCCCAATTGAGCAATCTCAAACTACCTCCACGGAAATGACCACCAACAACGGGAGACTTCTCGCGAGGGCTAGGATGAAAACTGAAGAAGAAATCACCCCTAGTTGGTCGCCAAACCAAGGAGATTTTCTCCCTAGTTTTGACAAAATCACCCCTAGTCGGTGCACCCAACCGACACACACGTGCCTAAAATCTCTACAATATAGCTCAAATCTTTCGTCATGGAGCGCGAACTCATCACTTTCGCAATCTCGATTACATCATCGAAAAAGATATTTTTGTTATGCTTTATTTTTTTTTGTTTTCTTGCTATCGCGCTCAAGCTCCTTGAGTGCTTTGATGACAAGGTCAATGGCAAATGGGACGATTATGACCTTAGCCTGACGGTTCTGGATAGTAAGCTTGACGGTCATGTTGAGGCCATTCTAGTCATTAGCTATTTCCTTGGCGATTTCTTCTCCAATTTTCTTGGGAGAGAGGTTGAGTTGTCCGATTTTGGGGCCAAGAGAGCTGGCTTCACCGACCTCGCCGTCGGTAACTCAGACAAATACGTCAATGACTTGAGAGGAATCGAACTTCGGCGGCATTTTTATGGAAGCTGGAGGCTTGTGAGACTAAAAAATTGAAGGAAAGTGAACTTAAGGTTATAAAACTAGGTTTGGAAGATGGTGGGTCGTGTTCATGCCTTCTCATGGTAATGGGCAGTGGAAGTTACGGGATTTGATGCTTCTGATGGTAGTGGGAGGTAGGATATGGTGGAAGTGGGGAAGAAGATAAAGTTTTAAAGGTTTGAAATTGTGGGTGGTGCAAATAAAATATTTTGGTGTAATTTGCAATAAAATAAAATAAAATTGGATAACAACTGTAATTATTCCTCTTTAATTTTGACAAATTTTGACTGTTTTTAACAATCAAACTAACAAAATTGAACAGTAGGGAATTTTTTCGTACAAAAAATGTTGTATTTCGCACAGAAGGTTTAAAATAAAGGGGTTTCCTGCGATTTTCAATATATATGGGGTATATCGTAAATGGAAACGTTTCTAGGGGATTTTCTACTATTAATCCTATTAACAAATGTAATAGTTGATATTACCTATTACATAATAGGTGATGTTACTTAACAGTTTCCATAAACAACATAATGCAATATGAATTATTCTACTCTACCAGATTTTGGTTCACAGATTTTGTACAGACTATCTCACATGAGGTGGGTCCCGAGGACCTAACTCATTAAAAAAACCCCCCAAAAATGTTAAAACACCCACCCACTCTATCTCACATGGCTGTGCCAGATCTTTTACAGACCTGGCACAGTAGCACAACTCTTACAATAATAGACGGATATTTGGCCAGAGAATATTATTTTTGGGTCAGAGAGCATAAGNTTTACCGACCTGGCACAGCAGCTCGGTTCATGCAATATTTTCTTAGAAGTATGTAACATATAATGTAATGGATCATGTAACAGACGATAAATTGGATGGACAATATAACATATGTAAAAGTTGATGTTATTGACATATTAGATCATGTAGTCATGCAATAATATATGTAAGACATTTATATCAAATAATGTAATGTAACATGTTAAAAATGATCTTTGAACATCACAAATCCTACAAAACAACGTAATATGTCATGCTACCCGGTATATTGAGGTTTGAAATTTTAACCAGAGCCTGCTCTTTTGAAATCTTCAAAAGGGTTCATTCAAAACACAGGGAAAATACCAATATATAAAATCACAATCGAAAAAGGAAAATCAAAATAAAAAGACCAGATTACATCGCACCAATTCATTTTATTACTACTCAATTTAAGCAACAAGAACGAGGAATGTAGCGATTTTCATTATCAATAGAAACAACATAACCCTTCATCTAAACTCGAAATTGAAGATTGAAATTGTTGTCATTTTGAAAATAAAGTTTTCCTTTCAGAAGAGATTAA